CCCTGGGCTTCTGCCCCTGCCGTGCTGATTCCTTCGTCCAACTGAAGCTGCCACAGACAATGTGTTTGTGTTCTCTTAGGAGTGCTTTCAGTGGGAATGACTCGGAGCTGGCAGTGAGCTACACAGCCAAGAAGTCCTACTGCCAGAGAGCTGTGCAACTGACCCGTAAGGATATGTTTTTATCCCTCTGGAAGGATCTTGAGGGGGAAATGGCAGCAGGTGGGAGGTGCCTGAGCTCTTGTCCCCCCTTCTTGCAGTGGGAAGCCTGGGTGTCAGCAGGGAGCTCCAGCAGAAGCTGCAGGATGTTGTCATGGACAGAAATGCACTGAGCCTGGGAAAGGTCCTGGGAGAGGGTGAGTAAAACTCATCTCATTCCAACCTCCTGCCACGAGCAGGGAACCTTCCATGAGTCCAGCTTGTCCTCCTTTTGTCCCTGATGAGGAACAAGCCTTTTGGTTCCATCTTGGAGCATTCCAGATCTTAGGGATCAGGTAATGTCCTGAAAGGTGGTGCTTTGGATGAAGGCATTCCTTCTTTCCTGTGGCACAGGGGAGTTTGGATCTGTGATGGAGGGATGGCTCAGCCAGCGTGAAGGGCCCCCACAGAAGGTGGCTGTGAAGACCATGAAGTGTAAGTTGTCTTTCTGCCCCACTGGATACCAACATTTCCAGTACTTCTCTCAGGAACGGCATCCTGGCGCCATTTGGGGTTCTAAAGCTCTTTCTCTCTCTCTGCTTCCCAGTGGATAACTTTTCCCAAAGGGAGATCGAAGAGTTCCTCAGCGAAGCAGCGTGCATGAAGGACTTTGACCATCCCAATGTCATCAAGCTCCTCGGTAGGGGCTGTCCTTTCCTACCCTCCAGCTGGGATTTTCCCAGGGCACTGTGTGAGTTGTTCATGTTTCCCAGGGGTGTGTATCGAGCTGAGCTCCCTGCAGGTGCCCAAGCCCATGGTGATCCTGCCATTCATGAAATACGGAGACCTGCACAGCTTCTTGCTCCGCTCCCGGCTGGAAATGGCCCCCCAGGTAGGGAGCACCAGGAGCAGAGGAGTGGGGTGGGATAGAGGTGGGAAGGGAATCCACCTCTGCAGCTCCTGCAGGCTCATGGGTCAGTGAGTGGCAGGGTCTAAGGGATAAGAGCTTGTCTGCTGCCGTGGGCTCATCCATTGGGATGGCAGCCTTGGATAGGGAAGCCTTTTGGATCAACACCGTGTAACCCCTATCTTCCCGCCCCAGTTTGTGCCCCTACAGACCCTGGTGAAGTTCATGGTGGACATTGCCCTGGGCATGGAATACCTGAGCAATCGGAACTTCCTCCACAGGGACTTGGCAGCTCGAAACTGCATGTGAGTGTTTTCCTCTGCTCCATCCCACGGGATGAACTCTGTGGATTTACAGCACAACTCTGCTCCTTTCAATAAAAGTTCCCTTGGTTTTGAGACACAGAACTCAGCCTGGGGTTTGTGGCCTGGGGCTGTCCTGATCCCTGTTTGCCCCCAGGCTGCGGGATGACATGACAGTGTGCGTGGCAGACTTTGGGCTCTCCAAGAAGATCTACAGTGGGGATTACTATCGGCAGGGCCGCATCGCCAAGATGCCGGTCAAGTGGATTGCCCTTGAGTCCCTGGCTGACCGTGTCTACACCACCAAGAGTGACGTGGTAGGTCCCCATGCCTGGAGGGACAGTCCCCTGGGCTGAGCCACACCATGCTCCTGTTGGTGTCATTCCCTGGAAGCGCAGGAGGCTGTTGGAGCCCTTCTGCTGCTGGCGCAGTTGGTTCCTTGAGTGGGCCTCTCGCCTCCGTCCTGGTCATTTCCCATTTTTGGGGCATCACAGCTCTGCCCGTTGTCCCTTGGATGCCAGGCAGTGACCTTTCCCCATTAAAAGCTTCATTCCATTCATTCCTCCTGGAAGTGTTCCTTCAGCCTTGGCCTTTTCCTTTTGTGCTGACAGTGGGCATTTGGCGTCACCATGTGGGAGATTGCCACGCGTGGGATGACACCGTACCCAGGGGTGCAGAACCACGAAATCTATGAGTACCTCTTCCATGGGCAGCGCCTGAAGAAGCCTGAGGATTGCCTGGATGAGCTGTGAGTCCTGGGATCCCAGCTGGAAAATGGATTTTGCTAGGAACAAACCCCTTAATGTTTGCATAACATGCCTAAGGAAAAGCTGGATCCTGGAGCAGAGCATGTGTCAGCATCTGCTGAACTCCAGGCAAAAATGCCAACAAATATCCTCAGAGGAAGCAATGGGTTTGTAGAGCTGGCAAGGTCACCAGGTACAGTCAGTGATGGAACTTTTTAGTATTTTATTTCTTTATTTTTAGATTTGTTTTGGCCAAAAAGGTCCTGGCTGATGATGCTCATCTTTGTTCCACAAAATTTCCTCTAGGTCCCTTCCGTGCCTCAAATCTATAAATCAGTGTCCCTGTGGAAAGGGAAATGTGGAATACACAAACTTTTGTATTTCTGAGCACCTCAGCAAAGGCCTTTCTCCCAAGCTACTTTCCTGAGTTATTCTCCAGTGCCACTAGAGCTGAAAATGTTTAACCCCCCCCATGGCTGAGAGCTTTGAATCCCAACTGGATAAACAGAGTTGTACATTTCCTAAAAGGCTCTTCTCCAGTGCCTATTCCTGAAGGAAGCAGTGCTGGAACCTCTAAGAATCCAGCCTGCCGGAGGGCAGAGAGGCTGGCAGGGACATGCTAGGGGCTTCCAGGGCTCCCTGACATCCAGCCTGGGAGCAGGCACCTGCCAAGGGAAGGACTGGGCATCCCACACACAGAGCTGGGATGTTCCAGGGAACAGATCCCTGGGCTGCACTGGAAGAGACTTCTCAAACTTCTAACAGCAGTTTGGGCTGATAAATCCATGCCCTTGGGAAACAGCCTGAGCAGAGGGAGTTGTTTTCACTTTGATTTAATGGGAATTTCAAGGCTTGCCTAACTTGGGGGGAAACTGGGTGCCCATACCTCCCCTAAACCAGAGGAGTGCAGGCTGCCCAGAGAAGCTGTGGCTGCTAAATCCCTGGAAGTGTTCAAGGACAGCTTGGAGCAACCTGAGATGGTGGAAGGAGCCCCTGCCCATGCCAGCAGGGTGGGACTGGATGAGCTTTAAGGTCTGTTCCAAACCAAACCATTCTGGGATGCTGGGATCCTCTGTTAACCACACTCCTCTCCCAATTTCTAGGTATGAAATAATGTCTGAGTGCTGGAGAGCCAACCCTGCCACTCGCCCTACCTTTTCCCAGCTCAAAGTCCAGCTGGAGAAGCTGCTGGAAAACCTGCCCTGCGCCAAGGCACGTGGGGACATCATCTACATCAACACTGGCCTTCCCGAGCAGAGCCCGGACTCCACACAGGATTCTGGCTTCCCACAAGTGGACTCAGATTTGGACACTGGGGAGGCATCAGAGCCTGGCTCCCCCAGCGCGAAGGCGGCGCTGGTGGCTGTGGATGTGCATCCCAGCGAGCTGTGGGACACCAGGTACATTATGGAGGAGCAGCTCAGTGACCCCGTGGAGGAGCCCTATGTGCCACTGCTTCCCTGCCAGGGCTTGGAGCCGGGGAGCCGATGGAGCCAGGCCAGCACTTTGCCAGCATCAGAGCGGCCACTTGCCGGGAGCTGTGGGGAGGACTCGGAAGTGCCGCTGGGAATGGTGTGAGCGGCACCACAGCAAGGATACAGAGGGAATATTTTAATAAACAGTCGTCTCTTTTATTTATTATCTCCTGCACGGTTTTCCTGGTGGAGGCTGGCTCTTCCCAGGAGCTCTTTCCTGGGCCGAAGTCCCAGGGGTTTGGAATTAACAGGGGAATTATTTTGCTGTAATTATTCATCTTCTCCAGAAGGAGCAGAGCAGGGTGGAGTGGATGGTGCTGAGGGGGCAGCTGGCCTTGCAGGGCCTGATATTTTCCCCCTTTTCCATCACTTGTTAAGGTTTGCAGGATGGGCATCCCCCTGGATGATGGGTGCTCCAGCTCTACAGCCTGCTGGGGGATTTCACACTGCAAGAGATCCCCATGGAAAACAGCAACGGGAGCCCCAATGGGAACAGTGGGTGCTCTCACACTCCCTTCTCCCTGATGGGTTTCAATCCATCCCATCCGCGTGCTGAGGTACCATCACTCCTGCTACAACACCAGGGAAACAGGAGCCTGAGGGGGTCCTGGGAGGGCTGGAGCCCCCCAGCCATGGCCCGGCACTTCCCTGCTGCCCCTTCTCCTTTTGGGGGGAATTCTGCTACTTCCATAGCTGGGGCTACTTGGCAGCAACCAGAACCGGACTCAGCACCTCTTGCCTCTTCTTGGGGGAGATCGGGCTGGAAATGGGGGGACCGGGCTGGGGAGGGTGTGCAGGACTTGGAGAAGGGGGTATTGAACTGGGGGCGGGGGTTTGCGAAGCTGGATAAGGCGTTTTGGGATTCGGGAAATAGATGCAGTGACTGAGATGGGGTGCAGGAGCTGGAAAACGGGGTACCGAGCTGGGGAGGATATGCAGGGCTGGGAAAGGGTTTCCCTGCCCGGCGCTGGTGGTCCCGGCCCCGCCGGAGCGCGGGGCCTGACGGGCTCCTGCACGGTGTCCGCTCGCGGCTGCACCAGAAACAGCTTTGCTGGGGGAAAAACTACGCTCCCGCACCTCAGCCGCTGGGAATGGATGCCCAGAGAGCCCGGCCGGTGTCCCGGGCAATGGATGCCCACGGAGTCCGGCCGGTGTCCCGGGGGATGCGCGGGGCCGGCCCGGCGCCGGGGCGGGGAAGCGCCGCGTCCCCTGCACGGGGCAGCGCGGGGGCGGCGCGGGCGGGGCGGGGAGAGCGCGGGGCAGCCGGTCTCGGAGAGCGGCGGGGCCGCACCGCACCATGGCGGGGCCGCGGGGGGCGCGGGGCCGCCTCCCGCCGCTGCTGCTGCTGCTGCTGCCGCTGCTGCTGCCGCTCCCGGCCGCGCCGACCGCCCAGGTGAGTGGGGACGGGGACCCCGAGAGGGGCTTCGGGGGGCGCAAGGGGCTCCTCTCCGCTTCCCGCTCGCTCTCCGCTGCCGTGCGCCCCGACAGCCCCGCAGCGCTGCCCGCGCTCCTGCCCCGGCAAACAGGTGGGCAAAGCCCCAGCCCGCGCTGAAACGGCACATGAGCCGCGCTCAAAGCGCGCGCGGCTTCTTTCGGGCTCGTTTCGCCCTTCTTACCCCACACCTGAAGCTGCCCCCGAGCACACCGGGAGCAAAGAATCTCCGTTTGGGGCTTTGGGGGGCCGGGGGGGGATTTTCCAGCTTTGCTACGGTTCAGCATCCCGCTGGAGCTCGCGCTGGCTCACGGAGTTAAACCCAGCGCTAACAAAGAGCTGTTTATTAAAGCCAGCGACGCGCCAGCATCTATTTGCTTTTGCCTCCCTTCCTCTGGGCTCGGGGTATTCCAGAGCTGCCAGCACAGCCCGGCTCATCCTCCCCGGCAGCCAGGGACCCCCGAACCTGCTCCCGGGGAAGCAGAGGACAGCGAGGGCATTGCTTGGGCTGCTGTGTTTGTCCTCTCTTAACCCTCAGCAGCTCTTCGGAAACGGGTATCATTCCACAGTGCAATTATGGAAAGGGAGAAAGAAACCCCTTCGACCAGGTGGGACAGAGCCCACCACCTCCGCTCGCTTTCCCGGAATTCCACAGCCCCCAGCCCGGTCCCTGTGCACTCTCTCCTCACTGCGCTCTCCAGATTTCTGAGCTCTGGGAACGGCTTAGCTCTTTTTCCTCGGTTTCAAGTCAATTCCGCAGGAATCCCATAATAACGGTGCCCGTCTCCGGCATGAGTCAGTCCCGTGGGAGCGATCAGTTTGCAGGCAGGAGTCCCACCAGTGTTCCTGGCCCCGGCAGAGCTCACAAGACAGCTGTTTTCCTCTTCTTTTGTCATGTGGAAGTGGGACAGCGCTGGAGCTCCTGCAAGATGAAACATGAGTTATAGCATCTCTCCCACAAAGCGATCCCAGCCCTGCCTGGAGCGCAGGCCTAGGTGGAAAAAACTGGATCTGGGTAAATGCGGGGAAAAATACAAAGTCAGGGTGCTCAGGGAACATCGGATGCTGCGGAGCTCCCGTGCCAGCCTCCTCCCATGGGCAGCAGGTTGGCTCCTGGGAGGAGTGGCAGCACAGGGAGGTCCCCATCCCTGTCCCTGTCCCTGTTCCCGCAGAGCTGCCTCAGCAGGCAGCAGCTCCTGGCTGCCATCCGGCAGATGCAGCAGCTGCTGAAGGGGCAGGAGACGCGGTTCTCTGAAGGGCTGCGCACTGTGAGGAGCCGCCTCAGCACCATCCATGCCTCCCTGGCCAAGGCCACCCCGGAGCCGCCTGTTGGTGAGTCCTTGGGACAGTATTCCAGGGAAATAGCCCTATTGGAAGGATAGGGCCCCCTTCAAACTCACCCCTTTTCCATGGTCTCGCAGCTGCCTGTCCTGCCCTCCAAGCCCCTGTGGATGGGAGGAAGTTTGGCACCAAATATTTGGTGGATCATGAGATTCACTTTGCCTGTGATCCAGGATTCCAGCTCCTGGGCTCCAGCACACGGATATGCCAGGCCAACGGCAGCTGGACAGGCCAGGAGGCCCACTGTGCAGGTACTGCTCATTGCCTGCCCTGGAATGGCCTTTGGAAAAGTGGATTTATATAAACACAGGGGGATATTGGGGTGCTCAAAGTGGGGAGGGATCTCAGCTACCCCTCAGAGTTCAGGGATGCTGCAGCTCCCATGGTTTTGAGATTTCTCTGTTTTAAGGAAAACTGTAAATTACAGCTGGAGTACCTCAGCAGGAGAGATGAGGAGAAATGGTACCCTGGCTATGACGTGCCGTAGGGTACCAAAGCATCCTGGTGTGTGCAGCATTCCTGAGCCTTGCTTCCTAGATGGAGATAACATGGAACATGGCTACTTTTCCCGCAGAGATCAGCGAGTGCTCAAGCAGCCCCTGCCAGAATGGCGGGACGTGCCTGGAGGGTCTCAACCACTTCAAATGCCTCTGCCCGCCGCAGTGGACCGGAATCACCTGCCAGTACCAGGTTCAGACTGGTGAGTGACCCTTGCTGGGGGATAATTGGGAGTGTTTCATCCCCCACCTCATCCTAACTGCCCATCCCACCGTTTTCCCGCAGTTCCTCCCACCTGGAGCGTGACGGATGACCCGGCCTTCAGCCGGCAGCCTCGCTGTGCCCAGATCGCCCAGACCCAGCAGTGCAGCTGCGATCCCGGCTTCCACATGAGCGGCACAGCTTCCAACGGGATCTGCCGGGGTGAGCCGCCATAAGGGAGGGCTGCAGGGCTGCTTCGGGGCCTGATCCCCTCACAGAGTCACGGAGTCACGTCCGAGGGGACCACAGTGGCTCAGCCCCACCATCCCAAAGCACACAGCACGGGATTGTGTCCAGCTGGTTCTGGAATATCTCCAGGGAAGGAGTGGGGGATCGGCCGCTGCTCCAAGCTCCTTCAGGAGGCTTCAATTCCTTAATCCAAGCCATGGATGGCCGAGTTCAATCTGGGCCCAGTGTCGCCCTGTGCAGGACACCGCTAGCCACAGCCCTCAGCTGTGCTGCTGCTGCCATTCCCTGGAATCTGCCATCAGCCCTCTCCCAGCCCACCTCATGCCCGCTCCTCCAGCCCGCGCTCGCTCCTTGGGTTTTCCCAGGAAGCTGGAGCGAGACCTTGGTGAATCCCTGTCTCTGTAGACCTCAACGAGTGCGAGGTGTACCAGCAGCAAGGGGGACCCCGGCTCTGTGCCCACGCCTGTGTCAACATTCCCGGCTCCTTCCACTGCTCCTGCCCCGCCGGATACATCCTGCTGGGCGACGGCAAGAGCTGCGAAGGTGAGGAGGCTGGAATCCACTTGGTCCCAAGTGCTCTGCCATTTTCCCCCACTTTTTTCTCCATATCCAAGAGAAAAGCTGATGTAGAGGGGAGGCGGATGATGGAGTGATGTTATGCAGGATGTCAGCGGATGGAGGCTATTTGGATTGGCAGGAGCTCCAGCTGGATGTGGATCTGGGTGGGAAAATGAATCCCAGTATTGTGCTGGGGAAGGGAAAACTCCACCAGAGTGCTTTAAAAGAATTCCTAAAAATGAAAATAAAATGCTTTTCTGGAAGCATGGCTGCACCTCTCCCTCTCCTCTTCTTTTCCTTCTCTGCTCTCCTTTTCCTCTCTGGATGATGGAGTGACACTTTGGGTCTGCACATCCTTGAAGATGACCACACTGTGGCTGTGGGGATGTTCCTGGAGCAGGGAATTCCTGGGAAGAACCAAAAGTAATGTTAAACCTCCAGAATTCCATGACTAGGTCAGAAAGTGGCAGCATCTCCCCCAATCCAAGCAAATTGGGGTGCAGGGGGAAGGCAGTGGTGGGAATGGTGGGAGGCCAAAACTGCTGAAACCTTCTGAAAAACAGGGAATTTTTTGTGCCCTGAAAGTGTTGATTGTTGCAGTTCAGGGTGAGAAAATCCCTGTTTCCCCATTCCTCCCTGATATCCCTGTGTTCCATGGCATCTCACCAATGCTCCTAGCAAATCCTCTGCATTCCAGCTCCTGCCAGGCATCCCACGGGTGTTCAGTAAATAAAAAGGGTCAGTGTTTCCAAACAATCAAGCAGAAAGTTTGGAAAAGCAGCTGCCTTCCTGCTGGCAGAGGGCTGCTCTTAACCTATACCGGCTTGGGGCAGAGCTTGGTGAGACAAGATGGAATTCTGAGATGCTCTCATATTTTTTGGATTATGTTTAACCTGTTTCAAGGTGGTTTTGCCTGTTTTCTGATGGAAAGGTGAGCTCAGTCGGAGGCTTCCAGGCCCTGACCCCACTTCCCACCCCTGTTTTCCAGATATTGATGAGTGCTCCCTATCCCAGGATAACTGCACAAGCGGGAGCACCTGCATCAACACCGGGGGAGGATTCCAGTGTGTCACCCCACAGTGTCCCTCGGCTGCTGGCAACATCTCCTACGTCAAAACCTCCCCCTTGTAAGTGCGGGGCACAAAATCAATGGCACATCATCCCTATGGATCCAACGCCAGCGAGGCGGGTGGCATGGATACCTCATTCCCAAAAACCTCCCATTGCTTTTCTTTTTGCAGCCAGTGCGAGCGCAACCCGTGCCCCATGGAGAGTCGCTCGTGCCACCAGGCCCCCAAAACCATCTCCTTCCACTACCTCCCTCTTCCCTCCAAGCTCCAGACGCCGGCACCGCTGTTCCGCATGGCCACGGCGGTGGCTCCCGGGCGGCCGGGCCCCGACAGCCTCCGCTTTGGCATCGCGGGCGGGAACAACCGCGGGCACTTTGTGGTGCAGCGCTCGGACCGGCACACCGGGGAGCTGCTGCTGGTGCAGAGCCTGCAGGGGCCCCGCACCATCCACGTGGACGTGGACATGACTGAGTACCTGGATCGGGTGTTCCAGGCCAAGCACCTGTCCAAAATCACTCTCTTTGTCTCGGCTTATGAGTTTTAGGGGTGGCTCCTGCCCCCTGCTCAGCATCCCACCGCTCCCAGGGAAAGACAGGGCTGGGGCTGCTCTACAGCCATCCAGCCTCCCCTCTGTCCCAAAGTTCTTATTCCCATGTGGATTTACACCTGTCTAGGTGGATTTACACCACCAGATGAGGTGGACAAGCAGTGGAAGCCCTATCCTCATCCCCGCTCCAGAGAGATGATGTCCTACAACAGCAGATGGAAACCACAGCCCTGATTTCCTTTGACTTCCCATTTTTTCCTTTAGGAAGCAGTGAAGCCAAGTGTGTGGGGAGAGGGAGGCTCATGGCCTTTCCTGCTCCTCTCCCTTGTTGCACCCAGTCCTGCTCCCTAAAAACATATTTCTACTTCCCTTTGGATGCTGAGAATCCCCCTGGCAGCCTGTAGGGATTGAGGTCTGGTGCCTCAGTCCCATGGGATTGATCAGGGCTGGAACACTCTATGAACATCCAGCTGGGTGCCCTCCTTGGCAAGCGGGACAAAGGAGGAATTACAGGGCTATCCTTCCTCAAACCTCTCAAATGGGGATCCCCCATGGATCCTCCTCACAGCAGAGCTTCAGCTGCATGTGGAGGCGAGAATATTCCCTGCTCCATCAGTCAGAGCCTCCAGCCTGGCATAGGAATGCTGGGAAGAGCTGGGATTGAGCTTTTCCCAGGGGAATTCACCCTCCTGCTTGTGCATGTTCTGCATGTCCCCTCATCCCATTGGATCAAGTACAATTAAAGGATGATGTAAAGGATGTCAGCGGAGTGAAGCACCTGAGGGATGTGTGGATGGGGGGGAATGCTCACCCAGAGCAGTCCAAGGGAAACTGGGGTCTGGGAGCACAAGAACCTATTGTCCATGGTTTTATTTTCCTGCTTTGTTTTGTTTGGAAGGGACTGGCTGATAGCAAGGGACTCCTTCACACCAGAGCATCCTCATTCCTGAACATTTTCAGCTTGGAGCATCCTTCCCCCCAAGGAATCCTCACCCTGGGACTCCCCATCCCTGAGCATCCTTTCCCCTGGGAATCCTTACTCCTTTACATCCTGCTGAGCTGCACCCACTAAAACCATTCCCACTCCTTGTCCCGGGAAAAGAGACTTCCCAAGATGGATCTGTCTCCTCTGGGGGATCGAGCTCCTGGATTTTTGGGGGGTATAGGAGCCTGGGAAGGGGTTGGATCTCTCCAGCAGAACAAGAAGAGACATTCAGGGCTGTTGTCGGTGGATGGAGGATGTTTGGATTGGCTGGACATGGAGCTGGGCAGGGAAATGTATCCCAGGATTGTGCTGGGGGAGGGAAGGGAAAATTCCAGAGTGCTTAAAAAAATACCCCAAAAATTAGGAGAAAATGCTTTTCTAGAAGCATGGCTGCTCCTCTCCATGCCACTTCCCAGCCTGTGGACATGCTCCTCCTACAGGCTATGACCCTATTTTGGGATGATAACACAATCTGAGAGCCAAAAACCAGGAATCTGGGAGAGGACAAGCTCCTGACAGGGCAGAATAGTTTCCATTTGCTGCTTTCTCCGGATAACACAGCTGGAGACGGGCGCCTGGACAACACTCCAGAGGCTTTTCCTTGCAGCACGATCCCAAACTGACAACATTTTCATAATTCCCGAGGCCAGGGTGAACTGCTTTCTCCCTTCCAGCCCTGGAAAAGTTTAAATACAGCTCTTTGCCTTTCTCAACCTCTGGCTGCCATTCCAGTTGACTAAAGGGGATTTTTTCCCTTCCCAGAGCAGCCGCTCCAGCATCTTTCAGATTTCCTGAGGTTGGAATTTGCAGAGAGAGGCTCTTCCGGTCTTGAAATACAACTTTTATTTGGGATAATAATATTTGGGAGCTGAAAAAATAGCAGGAATGTGTCTGCTTCCCTTCAGTGAGCACAGCTGACCCCAGATGTGCTGTCCCAAAACCACCATTTCTCACCCTAGAATATTTAACCAAAAATGTAGGATTCTTCTTTCGAGTCCAGATTTAGAATACCTTTATTCCTTGCCTATGGCTTGGGGAGATGATGCTGATTCCTGTGGGCATCAGCTCCAGGGTTCCACCTGTGCTGATGGGGCTAATTAGTCCTAAGCAGCCGTAATGACGTTCCCCAGCCACCACCACCTCGTCCCTGCAGGAATGTTGTTTTCCATCCTTTTCCTTGGATTTACCTGATTTCCCTGATGATCTGGAGCCTTGGTCCTGTTTGCCTTGCTCAGGTATGTGAGGCCCAAGGGAGATGATTCTTCCCTTAAGGATCTGAGGCTCCCCGCACTCGGAATACCATGGGAATCTGTGTGAGTGTTCCGCCTTGTTTTTGTAAAGTTTATTCGGTTGCTGGCACTGGAAAAAGCCGAGCCCCGTGTCCTGAAAAGCCCCGAGAGGCAGGGAGACAGCCTAGAACAGGATACAAATGTAACTTTTCCCGGGAACGTTTGATTAAACGTCCTTGAAGTGACTCTTGACAGAGGCGTCTTCCCTTCGCTCACTACATTTTTGTTAAATGACTGTCTTTGAACTACTTTATCCCGGATTTTGTCACGCCCTGGGCCCGACAGCGACTCCAGGGACCGCTTCTGTCCCGCCCTGGGGACACGTACTCTTGGTTTAATTACGACTGTCACTAATTAATGACGCACGGGCCGGCTCCCCTCACACACACCGGCCGCCAGGGGGCGCTGCGCACAGTGCGTGAGGAGGAAGGGGCGGCGGCCGTGACGCAGCGGCGGGAGGGCAGGCCCGTTCCCGCTCCCGGTGCCCGTGCCGGTTGTCGCCAGGCGGAAGCCACCGCCTTTTTCCCCTTTTCCCTCCCTTTTCCCCCACCATTCCCGGGGGGACGCCGCCATCACGTGACGGACGCAGGCCACGTGACGCGACGCGCGGCGAGGCCCCGCCCCCTTCGCGCGCGCACGGCGGCGGCGGCCGAGGGGAAGCGGCGGAGGGCGGGGCCAGAGCATGACGTCACCGCAAGGTTGACCGGCGTGGCGGAAATCCAATTAGCGCGCGAGACGCGGCGGCCGCGGCCAATGGCGGCGCACGTGAGGGCGGGCCCAGGGCCGCGCCGGAGGAGGAGGAAGAGCGCGGCGGGCGGCGGCGGCGTGAGGGGACGCGACGACATCGCGGCCCCGGCGGGCGCGGAAGACGCTGTGCCGGCGGCGGCGGCGGCGTGTGCGGGCCGCGGGCGCTGAGCGAGCGTGTGCGGGCAAAGCGCCGGGGGCCGCTGCCGCCGCTGCTGGTGCCGCCGTTCTCCTCCTTCTCTTCCCTCAGCCGCCGCCGCCGCCATTTTGTGCGAGTGCCTCGCGCGGGCGCCATGTTTGTAAGGAAGAATTAGGGCCGCCATCTCCGGCCAGCAGCACCTCCCTCCCCCCGTGTGTGTGTGTCCTCCCGCTCTCCTGTGCCCCGGGGCTGCCGCTCGAGCCGCCGCCGCCGCCACCGCCTCCCCGCAGCGCCCGCGCGGGGCGGCCGGGCCCGGGCGCTGAGTGCCCGTTAGTGTCTCACTAAGTAACCGTGAGTGCAAACCTTCATCATCTCTCCTCACTGAGGGGCCCGGCCCTCCTCCTCCTCCTCACCGAGCCGCCCCCAGCGCGGCCGTGCGCGCCGCCGCCGCCGCCGCCTCCTCCCGCCGCTCCGCACCGCGGGCAGCGGCGGGGCCCTGCCTTCCTCCACCTCCCTCCTCCTCTTCCTCACCACACCACAGCCAGGCACAATGGCCTTTGAAAGCCTGTTCTCCAAACCCCCAAACCCAGTTCTTGACCCAAACATGCCCGACTCTGACAGGCAACATGCAGGGGACGAAAGGTCGAGTAACATTCTTCTCTCTCTCCGCTTCTCATAATGGTGGTACTTAGTGGGGTGATGCTGGTAATGATGATGATGCTGCTGATGATGATGCTCTGTTAATGTGCCTGAGGGGGTTAATGATGTTTTTGGGGGGCAGGTCACCTTCAGGCTGGAGCGGGGTGGTGGTGGTGGGGAATGCAAATTGGGGAGGGGGATGTCACTGCATTAAAAGTGCATTTTTTTTTAGCAAGGTTTTAATTTTTCCTTTTGGAATGCATGCGTTTTTACATCTTCATTGATTTATTCTGGCTGGGAAGGGGGGCTGTTTGCCATTCTTTCCATAAATTGCACTTTCCAGGGGGTGTCTGTTGAATGTCACCATTGTTCTCCGTCTCAGGCAGGAAAGGGTGCTCCGAGTTGGGCGGGTTTTTTATTTTTGGCTGTTTTTGTTGATACCACAATCTCTCACTAGAGCCATATTTAACGTCATTTTCTTGCCAGATTCCACCTTACACATTTAACTGGATCTTTTTTATGCAGATTAAGGGCTGACTGACGTTATCTTTGCCACCTCTCAATCCCCATGCGCAGAAACCAGAGTCCTGTTCCTGGTGAAAGGACCTCTGTTGCTCCCTCCCTCCCTCCTTCCCTCCCTACTTTTCTCTCCTGCAGCTGCTGGAAATTCAAATCCTTTCTCCAGGCAGCTCTGGCTTTCCTAACTAGTTCCAAAAATACTGTGCCAGGGTGGCAGTTACCAATGCTTGAGCCTACATCTACCCTGAGCATTCCTGACAAAGCTGCAGGAGTTAAAAATGCTGGGGTTTTGGGATTCCTGGAGCTTGGCCTCCCCCCACACAGCTCAACAGCCATTTGTGGTATTTCAGAGGACTGGAAAACACTGCGAAAAAGCCAAACAAACAGACCAAAAAAAAAAAAAAAGGCTTGTGGGTTAATGCAAAACTGTTTCCTTGCTGGAGAAAAGAGTCACGAGTTCTGTGTTATAAATTGGGAATGGTCCCAAAATGCTCCTCGGGTTTAGTGCAAGGGTCAGGGCAGAGCCCAGAGCTGCTAGTTCTTGTTTTCCCCTTTCTTGTCCTTGAGAAATGCTTCTGGGATTTAGTGCAAGGGTCAGGGCTTGTTGGTGCTTGTTTTCCACTTCCTGGTTGTCCTCAGGAAGTGATCCCTAAAATGGCTCGATATTTAGTGCAAGTTCAAGGCAGAGTCCAGAGCTACTGGTTCTTGTTTTCCCCTTCCTGCTTGTCCTTGGGCAAGGGTAGAAGTTGTGTCATGCTCTGTTTTCCAAGCCAAGTGCACACCATGAATCTGCTGGGATCTCTCGAGCTGTGCTGTGGAGTTCCTGCAATGTGACTTTTCACTGTTTCAGGGATTGAAACTATCTGGAGTTCTCAAATCCTTGAGGACAAGCCCGAGTGACTCTGGGTAGTGCTGGGAGCAGTGTTTTTCCAGCTTGGAGTTCTCATCCTCTCACCAGCTGTTCCCACCAGTACAACCAGTTGTGACACTGGTAACTGTGAAATAGAGCCAATAAGTGTCACCTAACAACCTAATTAATTTTAATTTACAAGTGTTGCTTTATAATGTTTTAATTTATGAGGTGAAGAGCAACAATACACACGACCTGGGAGATCATACTTCTTCTAAAACTTCAGCTCTTACTTTAGTAAAATAAGTTAATTCACTTTAAAAAAGGCCCAACTCCGAAGTTTTTGCGTTATATCAGGTGTGCAAATGTAGGACCAGTAAAACCAGTTCACTTCATGGAACACCCACACTGGCAACCTCACAATTCCCAATCAATTTATTCAGGAGTTCTGTTAATAATTTAATTTGAGCTGATCTATTGAACGATAAAGAAATTACTTAGTAAAAAAAAAAATTTAGAACTCTGTCTGTCCAAACTTTGAATATTCCAATTTGGAAAATTGTTTTAATGCAGTTTTCTCAAGACAGGAATGTT